TAACATGATGTGCAAATATGCACTAAGTGAAGAAATCTTAACTGCAAACCTTGTTTATGTGTAGGCCAGGAATTGACCAATACAGTGGGGCCTCGAGATTCGAGTCTAATCCGCCGATCGAATTTTCCCGATTAAAAATAACTAAAAATCAATTCATTTGTTCATCAGAAACATGGATATAAACAAATTTATTGATAATATAAATTAATAATAATTAAGAAAACATTTTATATTATTGTCAATGTTTCCTCGTATCACGAGGAAAATCTTGCAAAAGTTGCTTACCAGTAACTTGGAAAACTCCAAGCCTCACTCGTATCTTCAAGCCCGACTGTATTGAGTTATTTCTCTATAATTTGGAATGTGTGTCCTTTTATATTTGTTGCATTGCTCGTATGATTGCGTAAAAAACATTAGAAACTGTTTCATCTCCATAATATATCTAATGTAACTATTTTTAGATTTAAAATGATTGGTTTTGCTATTAAAAAATCTACCTCCACAACGTACATCTATGGTACCCAACCCCCCGCCCCCCGCACCCCAACACCACCACCATCTCCACATCAAAGTTGTCCACATTCCATGCAATACATTTCTTGTCATTGTTCCTGTCTGACACTGCACATATGACGACTTGCCCTGTTTTGCGGTCATGGTTGCACACATCAAAGCAGAGCAGAGAGCCCTGTTCAGACCTGCACTGTTCTTCACAGATGTGCTGCATGTCCATTTTTTGTTTTGTTTTATAAACGTCAAACCCGGTGTTGCGTTACACCGGACATGAAAGCTTTACTGCAACTATGTTTAGCTAAGCTGATTTGATCTGCCGAGGTCAAACTTCAGGTATTTTAATTCAGCTGTTAGGTATCACTCTTACAATCTGTGTATTTGTATGTCTTCTCCAATACCACGTGACCTCGCTGTCAGTTAAGACACGTTTCGTTTTCGTCATGATGGCAGGGTGGTGCAAAGGAGTAGGCACATTTGTGAAAATAGGAGGGGAGAAGAAAAAAGTCAGAATATTTAACATACAGATTGATTTTTTTTTTCGTACTTGTTTTGGTTACTTTTTTGCTCATTGCTTGTTTTTTAAGTTCATCTTAACTATTTTTGAGCTGAGGTTTCAGTGCTCAAATGTTGATGCTTGCATGTGAATGTTGCCCTTAAACAATTTCCTCACAATGAATGTTTCATCTGTGAGACGTGTTTGGTGTTCCTGTCTTGATTTAATTGTCTATTTGCTGCATTTGCTGATATTTGATTGGCGGTTTGCTTTTTTCCTTAAGTTGAGATTGTACAATAACCCCTCACAGGGTTGCAGTACGGCAGTGAGGCCGTGAGTACAGTGTAGTATCTTCTAGTATTTCATTCTTTAACAGGCCACAATTTCAAAATGACATGCCATCTAAAAATAGCTGCAAACTCACTCACCCATGTCTCAAATCAGCACTAATCTGACCGGATACCCTCCACCCCCTTGTCACTGCCCATGACTGATTTCTCCAGCCCGCTATGTAATGCCGGTTCCTCCCACTGTACATTCCAGACTGAGCTACGAGCCAACTCTTTACTAAATTTGAGAGCGCTGTGTTGGTCTTTGTTGCCTGACAAATATCGTCAGTGTCATACTGGCTTGCGGATACAGGCAGGTTGAAGCTGAAGAATCAGCCGCTTGGAGGCCCTCAAGGCACAATCCTGGGGCCTCACCTTGGTTGCTTTTTGAAAGATTTTTTTTATTGTTTTTAAATCATTCAGACCTACTGTGGGACTATTGTTTGTGTGTATGTTTTTCTCTGTGTATGGGCCCCCAGGCTGTTGTCAAGCAGATCATGTGGACTCCTGTGACTTAGCTGTCGGTCTACCTACACCCCCGCCCCCCTCTGAAGAATGTGAAAAAACAGTAGAAAGAAACAGAGAGACAGGACTGTGATAGCGGGGGGGTTACAACCGAAATAGAGTGAGCACATTCCTGGACATGCACAAAACGTGTCCACAGGGGGAACTACTAGCTCGGCAAGAGTTGTAGACCTTGAGCATCTTAAAATAAGGTTCTCCTCCTTCCCCCTCCCTGTCCTTGTTCTGCTCCTCCCCCTTCCTTCTCATCTCTTAAACCCCGGAGTGGTTTAAGCGAAGGGATAATCTGTGGAAGAATTCCAAAAGGCAGCAATCTAGGCATTATCTGAAAAGAAACATGAAGGATGATGGAATATTTCAGGCTTATCTGAAATAATTGCTTACAATTTGGTTTAGAAATTGTGAGAAAATCAAAAGAGATTCCGGCTCCACTGAGTGGATGAATCATTGTCGATCAAAAATCTGTTTGTGATACAAAATGTGTTCTACAAATACTCAGCCCTTTAGGTCTTTTCATTCAATTAGACTTTTAAATTTGACTCCTAAAACCACAGTTAATAGTATACACAGTGATTATAAGCTACAATGACTCCATCAAACTACTAATTTATTCCCTGATTAGCTGATTTTTTGGATGAGATTAACCTCCATTGATCCCCACACGTTGATAAGTAAACAGTATTTTCGACGTTTTTTTGCATCAAGTTCTGTGGTTTTAATTTTCTAATGGATTAAACAAAATGATTAACTGACATGATGATTGGTCAGTTAATTGAATATGAACACTCTAGACAGTTAAAGCTCTAAAAATCCGATTCAGTCAGTGATGTTCTAAATCATATTTGGCCGTGACAGCCCGATTTTGCCTGAGCTGTTTTGGTTTGTTTTTATTTCACATTCTCAGAGTGGTCTGCATTGGACTAATAAGTAGGTCACTGTAGGGTTGATGTTTGACATGATGCTAGGCTATCAGGATATAGCTGCGTTACTGTGAACAGGCTACATGTTTAGGGCTTAGCTCCTTGTGTCCTACTTTAGACTTGATAAATAGGCTTCATCTGCGAGCGTGATGATGCCCGATGTTGCACCTTCTTACATCATGCTGGTGTTTTGCTCTTTCGTAGTTCGTCTGCCCACGTGTTGTTTGTGCCTTGGCGCATCACTATTTATCAAAGTGTGTTTGTGCGTGTGTTGTGTCTAGTTTGTGGATGTCAGTGGAAGACAGTGACGTGGGATGTGTCTTGTCTGGCAGCTCTAAACCCTGACACACTTGTGAGGTTAGTCTGTACCTTTGGTTCTGTTCTCACAAGTTTGTTCTTGTTGTTTTTCTCAAGCGTCTGTGATGCTTTCGGTGTTGTTTGCCAGGTGTCTCATCATGTGTTACCTGGTCAGTATGTGTGCTCTAAATGACATAGACACCATATTAAAGACCTTCTGCACTTTATATATTTAAATTTTAGAGCATTCTGTTTATCTCCATCTCAAAGCCCATGGGCCATTTCCAGCCCACTGCTCCACTTCCCATGATCTGATTATTATGAAATACAAAAACAACCTGCTTATTCATTCAGTTTTTATTTTAATATGTTCTTTTAAAGCAGGTTGATTGAGTTTGTTTATTTATTTATTTTTTTTGAATGATTTGTGACATGATTTAATTTGTATTTGAGAGATAAATCACCTTGGTTGGAGCGGGGTTTAAAGGCTGGAAGTATTGATGTATGTCCCAGGCCATCTTCTTTGAACATATTTTTGAAAAATAACTTCACTTGAGGCAAGAGCTGAACTGAAATGACCCCCCCCCCAAAGCATATGTGAGGTTAAAGTGTACAGTTACCCTGCCCTTCAGCTGCCAGGTGAGAAAACAAGCGGAACCTCATGGAATGTGCCCATCTGTTAATAAACATTCATTGCTGTGGCAGTATTTTGGTGGTCTTGGTTGTAAATATCAAATGGAGAGGTATTTCACATATTTAATCACAGCAACAGAAAGAAATAGTTAAATTGATCAACATAAATGTTGGGTCTTTGGAGTGTATTTTGTTTTAATAGTTTTGAAAAGGTAGTACCCAAGGGGTATGTTCTAAAAATAAAACTAGCCAACAAGATGGTCAACAAAGTCTGTATTCAACAAGTAGCTCTTCATTTCACAAAGTACCGTTGAAGTATCTCTCAGTTTCAAAAAAGACTGGCGACCCCTGCTGTAAACATATTCAGAATAGATTCTGTCTGAAATATGAAAAATGCATAGAAACTTCCGTGGTGCATGTTAGTATAAGGAGAATAAGGAGGACAAAGAACACACAGTCATTGGTCTTCAGTGCATGATGCAACAGACACATAGTATCACTGCAATTTCAAACAAACCCTCAAACAGTCTGATACTGTAAAGTAAAACAACAGTGTTGTCAGTGTTGATTTTTTTTACAGTCATTTTTGTTGTTGTTACACAGGCATAGAGACAGAATGATATGTGCTGTACATCCAGTAATTCCACCGTGCCTTCACACATCGTTGATCTAATTACAGTTGATACACATGTTTGAATTGGGAATGTTTTGTTTTACCTCAAGCCAGCCATGGGTTTTTAGAAGCTTTAGGCTGACAGAGTTACCAAGTGACTTGGAGGGACCTGTAGACAGAATTATTGCTGAGAACAAGGCTTTACTGACGTTTAGAAAGATACTCCTGACACTGACGGGATAACGTCGAGATTTGTTTTTGTAGCGTTTGAGTTCTGCATCAGTATATTTCTGGGATATTATTTTCTGACAGTATTGAGAAAACGTTACGATAAAATAATCATTGCACTTAATACTACAGTTAATTGTAATACGGAGTAACCCCGAATTGAGATGCATGGATGGATTGTTGGAAATATTGACTTATATCCAACAATCATAATTATCATCATCATCATCATTTATCAAGATTATTCCACTGCTATTCTGTGATTAATCCGATGTAAACTGTTTATAACTACTAATGTCTGGCTCATTTGACAGCATTATAAGTTTTATTAGAATTGGATATGAGACAGCAGGTGATTTATTAGGAAACACAGCAGACTTGTGTGCAGTATATGTGTTGTTATAAATAGTATATGTGTACTATTTCATATGTGTGGTGTGTTCTCACTTCAGGTACGGAGGAGTCCCAGATCACCCAGTTCAAGTCAGCCCCAATCCAGAGCAAATATTTAGGAGCAGGTAAGAAGAAAAAACTCTACGTGGGTGTGTGTGTTTGTATGTGTGTGTGTTAGTGTTAGTGTGCATCCTGTGTGTCTATATTTCCACTCTAATAGATTATCGATGCACTGCTGAGTTGGTTTGCTACCGCAGACAGTGGAAATGGGCTTGGACTCCCATGTGGAAATGGGATATCTCAAACACACACACACACACACATTAGCTTTATACTGTACACAGGCACAGTGACTATAAAACAGCTCCCATGTGCAGGACTTTAAAGCACATTTTACACACACACACACACACACACACACACACACACACACACACTTGTGTGCTATTAGACACACCAGCACACCTGCTGGTCTTTAACAGAAGCCGTGCTCTATTCCAGTATGTGAAGATGAAAAGAGAAGTGGAGGGCAGAGATGGACAGGAGGAAGAGGAGGAGACATGAGGAAGCTGGGAAGGACAAAGAAAGATGGTAGATTAACAGGAAGTATAGTATATAAGGGGGGGGGGTGCTCAGAGAAATAATGATTAGCTCCTCACGCGCCCTCCTCTTCTACCTTCTTTTTCTCTTTTTGGACGGTTGTGTGGAGGTATCACAGCGTGGTGGAATTCAAAAGATAAAAAAAGAGTAGGCAACTGATAGACACGAGCAGCGCAGGCTGTCGAGCTCAGTGACAGTCACACAACGCCGCACACACACACACACACACAGGTTTGCGATTCTGCGATCCCTCGTTGCCTGTTGTTATTCCATCTCCTATTTACATATAGTTAATAAATGTGAAGTGAGGCCAGAGAAATGACGGGGAAGAAGAGGTGGAGAAAAACACAATGTCAAAGGAACTGTTTCGGCAGCCAGGGAGTTGGGCATGCTGCATGTTGGAGAATTCAAATGTACTGGTGCTGGATCCACACCACATCACTCAACATGTGTGCTCCTCAGAGAGATGATGAAATTTAAGTCACATGGAATGTACAACTGTACGTGGGCAAGTGAAGGCAACCTGTTAGCCATGCAGTGATTTTAGAGATTATGAGTACTATTTTCACAGTACTGTTGTGTGCTTGTGTGATCACGGTGCTGCTAACAAATGTACACAGAGTACCCTACACACTAGGGTTGGTTTACATTGGAATGAGCGCTGGCCTAGAAAGAGGAGGTGGTCTCAGAACAGAAGTGAACCCTTGGCGGCTTGGTAGTATTTGTCGACGCCTGTTCAAACTGACATGTTCCTTAATAACATGGCGAGTTAGCATCCAGAACAGTGCTTCTTGACCTTGTTGGAGGTACTGAACCCCACCAGTTTCATATGCGCAGTCACCAAACCCTTCAGTGATGGCCAAGCCGGGGGGGGGGGGGCGTC